CCATTTCAAAATCCCGTTCATTAAATCCGACAACTTTTTTTTTTTTTTTTTTCCTTTGATGTTTACAGTAAAAAAAAAAATTCGATGCCGCGTATTTTCCAAATTTTTTTTTTTTTTTATCGTTTCGAACCTGATTTTAAATTCTAATCAAATTTTTAAAAAAAATTTAATTTAAATTTAAATTTTTCATTTTACTTATTTTAAATTTTTTTTTTATAAAACTCTCTCTCTAAAAAAAAAAAAGACTAATTTTAATTGCGACGCCATTTTGATTAGCAACAAGACGAATTTTTTTTAGTATTTTTCCCCGAGACGAGTTTGAAAAACTTTTATTATTATTATTATTATTATAAATTAAAAATTTTTAATTCTGTTATTTCCCCAGCGTTGGAAAAAAGGTTTCCATAAATAAAATTTAATATAAAAAAAAATTTAAATAAAATTTGAACGTGGATTTAAATAAATAAATAAATAAAATACGTATCGTGTCAAAAGAAAAAAAAAAAGAAGATTTTTATGCAATAAAAAAAAAAAAAAGAAAAAAAAACAATTTATTAACGTTTGAATTTATGTCTTTATGTTTGATTTATAGTTAGAAAATGGCGTCAAATTTCAGTTTTATTTTCAATGATTTCCATTCACCGCCATGTTTTTTTTTTCCAATCTTATATTAAACTTATAGGCTTTTTTTTTTAGTGAATGTTTCGCCCATCGAAAATAAAAATAAAATTAATATTTAAACCATCGACATAAAGAAAGTAATAAAAGTTCAAATATTTGTAACATCAAATCCAATTTTAACACTTAGTGCCGCCCCCGACCCCACTCCCCTCACTCCCCAAACTTCCATTCATCTTCCAGTGTTTTTTTTTTTATTCACAACAGCAACAGCGATCGTGACTTTTTTTACGACAGGAAAAAAAATTTTTTTTTTCGTTACAAAATGGCCGAAAGAAAAAAGTAAATTGAAAAAAAAAAATTTTTTTGTTTATCTTACGATGATAAAAATGCTCTAAATGATAAAACAATAACAATAAAAATTACCGTTTGAAGAAATACTAATAATAATAATAATAATAATAAT